TATAACTGAAACTATATGTCGTTTATAAGATATTACAATCCTTTTGCTTTTAAATGAATAAATAAGAAATACCCTCGGTCTGTAGCCCTTGGCTGGAATGTGGTTTTGCGCAACTTCTCAGATCGTGCGCTTTGAGTGGCGCCACCGTCGTTGTAATCAAACTGTAGTCGTTAGTTTTAAAACATTTTTTAAAAATATTTCTAATGGTGATTGAACCATGAAACTTTTTATGTAGCGCAATTATAACCTAAATTAGCTGAAAATAACCCTAGAACCTAGAGGCTACTGTTCCTTTAATAGTTTAATACTCATTATACTGCACCAGAAATTCGTTATGATAACGTAGTCCTGACTCTCCAATAAACAGCATCTCTTGTTCAGGTCAGCCATTTAAAAAATGTTATAATAGGTGATAAAGACCTGAACATATAAATAATTGGTGCTATCTGTATTTTGCAGGTACTTCTTTGCAGAAAAACTATTACTGAGGACTTGGAAGATTCCTGAGCGAACACATGCTATAACAAATGTATGGTTGCCACTTATACCTGACTTCCATCTTGCTCGGCTATGATTAAATGGCAACGAGCAATCTTAAAGTTTACTTGTCCAAAAGAAAATTCTCGCGTCGTTTAGTGGGGACTCTAAAACGAATGGAACTAACGCTGAGTGTCGCCCGTCGTCGTTGAGGTTTCGCGCGATGTCAATCGGGTCGCCAGGGATGGATCCAGGCAGTGCCATCCTGGGGCTGAGCAAGGCCAACGATGATGAGGTGAAGCAGGATGGCTTCCCGCTAGCTGGTCAGCATCCGCCCGAGAGCGTGCAGCAGCTGATGAGCCTGAGCGGCGGCGGCGGCGACGTTGACGCGACGCCGTACGTCCAGGAGACCGACGTCGTGCGCAGCGTCACACCGGCGATGCAGGCGTTCTCTGCTGGCCAACCGATCAACCCCAGCTACTACACGCACATTCCCGTCAGCCAGCTGGCGTCGGGCTACACGTACGCAGCCGGTGACGGCCAGAGCTACCTGTACAGCAGCCCTGTGTCGACGACGCAGACGACGCAGCTGCAGGCCGACGTGAACATGCACGCGCAGTACGCGATCATCACGTCTGCGGCGGACCCGGGCGACGCCGCGTTCGAGCGCATCCAGCTTCCCGGTGGGGCCTCGCCTTCGTCTGCCGCCGTGTACGTGCCCGTCCCCGGCACCGCCGTCGTCGTCTCCGCCGACAGGATGCCGCTGAGTTCGCCCGGCGGCAGCATACTCGACCACACCGGCTACGGTGTGCCGCAGCACCAGCTGGACCCCGTCGCGTACGCGATCGCCGAGATGGAGAAGGCAAGCAGCCCCGAGCCGCAGCCGCCGCCGCCGGAGACGGAGGAGTCGATCAAGGAGAAGGTGTCGCAGGCAACGTCGATCATGGAGGAGCACACGAACAATCAGACGCGCGGTGACGAGGAGCAGGAGGAGGCTGCGGCGGGCGGCGGTGCGGGCAAGGACGACGCATCGCTCGAGGCGGACGACCTGACGATCGACGAGGACGCGCCGACCGTGTTTGCGGAGGTTCGCGCGACACTCTCGCGCGCGATGCTCGACTCGATCCCCGGATCGAAGACGGCGTTCTTTGGACGCCTCGACGTCGAGTACGGCGTGCGGGTGCGGCACAACGACGACGCGGGCGACTACACCGTCGCAGGACCCTTTCGGCAGATCGTCGCTGCGCAGAAGTCGCTGCGGCGGCTCATGCTCGACTGCAGCGGAGAGCTGGGCGGGGGCGTCGTCGACGAACAGTGCGACCAGCAGACACAGTGTGACCTGATCGTGCCGAGCCCACCCGCGCAGACCAAGGTGGCGAAGGTCGGTCGACCGCCAGGGCGAGGGGGGCGTCTTTGCGTTCAGAGGGTTCCCTCGCAGCCGGTCGAAGTGCTGGCTGAAAGTCACGTAGCACCTCTGCCTGAACCGGAAACGACCGAGGTGTGGGCACCGTCGCCAGAGCTGCCAGCTGCCGACAGTCCGAAGGAGGAGACTCACACAGTAAGCGCGCTCGAGACTCAAGTCAAGAAAAAGAGGCCAGTGTACCGAGGCGTCGGCAAGCGACGCAGGGGCTTGAGGGGACGCAAGCCGAAATTCTGCGTGAAGACATTGATGAAATCCCTGGAAGACGACGACGAGGACGATGAGAGCGAAATGACGCGAGAGCTGACCGATCAGAAGGAGATGGACCCTACCGTGCAGGACACCGTAGACGCTAATCCAGATGATAACTCCACGAAGGTGGACGATTCGTCCAGCAACGCTGACTCACAGGCGCAAGCGGGCACCACTGTGAACGGTGACGATCCGGATTGGCTGCCCGAATCCGACCCCAAGGACCGGAAGACTCCACAGACGCTTGTGAAATCGGCCGACAGTGTTCTGCGGAAGCTGCTGGCCGACGCGACGGGTCCTGCCTCGCAGGCGGGCGACGCGTCGAGCAAACATGCTGCCGCGGAGTCGGGCCATGGCGGCAGCGGCGGCGAGACGCCGCCCTTGCTTGGCCGCAAGAAGGCGAAGAAGGACTACGAGCAGCTGACGCCCTTCAAGTTCTTCTGCAAGCAGTGTTCGTTCAAGACGAAGCGCGAGAGCCACTTCCAGAAGCACACGCAGATCCACGAGAAGGTGAAGACAATCCACCGGTGCGCGCTGTGCAGCTTCACGACGCTGCGTCTCGGCCACCTGCGGCGGCACGAGCTCGAGCACTCGCAGCGCGTCTACTTCTGCGACTACTGCAAGTACGGCACCGACGACCTGAAGCTGCTGCAGCGGCATGTCAAGTTCCGGCACGAGCAGCGCGCCGAGGAGGCGGAGCCGTCGCGCGTGCTGCAGTGCAAGTCATGCGACTACAAGACGCTGAAGCCGTACCACTACCAGCGGCACATGCGCGTGCACGCCGACGGCGGCCGCAACCGCATGTTCCAGTGCGGCGTCTGCGAGTACAAGACGAGCCGCAAGGAGCACTACACGCGGCACACGAACAACGTGCACACGAGCCGGCGACCGTTCCTCTGCGACCTGTGCGGCAAGGCGTTTAAGCGCGCCGACGCGCTGCGGCAGCACAAGGGCACGCACATGCAGACGGAGGAACGCGAGTTCCCGTTCCACTGCCACATGTGCGAGAAGGGCTTCCGCTCGCAGGCGCACCTCAGCGAGCACATGGCCTCGCACTCGGACCTGCGCGCGTTCCTCTGCGAACTCTGCGGCGCCTCGTTCAAGACGCGCTCAGTGCAGCGCAAGCACATCCTCACGATCCACAAGAACCCGCGCGCGCACCAGTGCGACCAGTGCGACAAGCGCTTCAACACGAGCTACGCGCTGCGGCGTCACACGAAGCTGCACTACCCGACGGAGGACGCGCTGCCCGCCGAGAAGATCCAGGTGAAGGAGGAGATCGCGATCGTGCAGTATCCGTCCGACCAGATCCCGCCGCACCTCACCGCGCACATCATTCCCGCGCACCTTGTGCATGACCCGATGGTGCAGGACACGCAGCAGGGCGGCCAGCCGATACAGATCATGTCGGCCGAGGAGTATGTGCAGACGCAGGAGGTGGACCAGCAGCGGCCGCAGTTCGTGCAGACGACTGAGACGACTACGGCCCTGCTCTACCTGACCAGCAATTTCGGGCAGTACTGATCGGGTCTACGAGGGTCGTCATCGTCGCACGTGGCTGGTGATGGCTGGGAGTGACTTTCTGTGGAAAGTGATGTGCTTTACGTGCCGGTGACGAATCCAAGGCACCTACGGCATCGTAGTGGATCGTGCTCAATTAAGACTCATTGTACGGTGTGTACAAATAATTTAATGCAAGTGAAGAATGGAGACTGAGTTTCGTACTTATCCTGTCATCATGCAGCATCGATCGGATTTCGTATCAGAACAGGCACGTGCATAAACTGCAGGTGTATTGCGTTTGTAGAATTCTTGCAATTAATCGAAATGTAAATGTGGTGTTTTGCAATATGCCTGGATTCGCTGTGAATATGCAGTGGGTGTAAAATAGTATAGCATTTATATAAAAGACCTCGAACTGTTACCGATTTACTCTATTTTGCCTCGCGGCATACCGATGTGTAAACATGGTTATATACGATATGATAGGCATTTATGAAATGTGAGTGTGTCTGAGAAGTTGGTTATCTTTTTAATCTAGTGTTAGGATGATATTTTTACTCATTAATTCATTGTTGTTGCACAATTTTATTCTCAGTATCATCGAATTAGAATGGATCAGAAATCTCTAACATGTCATTTCTTCTTCTTCGCCTTCTTCTTTGTCTTCCTCTTCTTCTTCTTTGTCATCATCGTCGTCTTCTTCTTCTTCGGCATCTTCATCTTCTTCTTCTTCCTCTTCTTCTTTGTCATCATCGTCGTCTTCTTCTTGTTCTTTTTTGTCTTCTTCGTTGACTTATTCTTCGTCTTCTTCTCTTTCTGCACTGTGCAGGTTACATCGGGTAATTAATTGCCGATTGTGGCATTACGCCAAGCTACGGCTTTTGTTGTCCTGGCCGGGTGTAGAACTCGCAGACTAATATCCACTAGTTCCACTATGACTATAACCACTGGTTCACCGTAGCTTTTGTTGTGCACATGCCACGAGTTACGCAAGATCACACATTTGCCACTTGCAAGTTGCATTCTACACGCTTTTCATTGCATTGGTTTGGTAAAGTATGTAGTGGATTACTGTAACCTTACATACACGTGTATAAGGATGAACATTGACGAGACGATATACAAACGAAATATGTTCGTTGAGAATTTTTTCCCTGCGCTTCATTGGAAAGAAACTGTCTTGACTTTTGTCAACGAATGTAAAGTTACCATCCACTTTTGTGCTGTTATGTATATTGTCCCTGAAGCTTCTCTTGGTATTTATATGCCAATAAAAAGTATTTCTTGCGATACATACTCTCTTCGGCTTATTCTGGGAGGAATGCCCGTATCTATCATCTACATGCATGAACGTGGGTACCTACCTCTGGTGTGTTATCGTACACTGATAAGTGCGGTGCGTTGTGTGAATATAATCCATGATCCATAGATCTATACTTATTACGTAGAGAGGGCCTGTACTTAATGTGGCTTTCTATTGATGTGTCCCTCATTATAACTGTGTGCCAACGGGCAGTGGATGTATATATCCACCCAAGTTTATTATTACTATTATTATTATTATTATTAGTTCATCTGACATAGTCGGATGCAGCTTGTAGAATCGCATGATTGTCCGTGCGTCCGTCCGTCCGTCTGTGCGTCCGTCAACAGTTGGGCACAAATCTTAACCGCTCGATGTAGTACGGTCACGATATTGGGGGCGTGGGGGGGTAATCCGAAAACGAGTTGGGATGTTGAAGCTGGGGGTCAAAGGTCAAAGGTCAAGAGGTGTATAAGAAGGAACATTTCCTCCTTAACTTAAGGTATACGGAGGTAATGCAGAACTGCGGCACAAATCTAAACGGCTCGACCTAGGCTCGTGATAGTCGGTGTATAGCATCATGGTAGGAAAAGCCATCACTATGCCGAAATTGGAGGTCACAGGTCATTTTTATGGCTTTATTGAAAAAACCATGAAATGTACTTTCCGCTGACATGCGAAGAGTAAGTGTCGGATAACCTTTTGACCCTCAGGAGGAGGGTTAAACATGGATTTGTTGACTGTTAACAAAGGACTGAACTGCTTTTGCTATTAGAGCTCCCTCCCCCCACCCTCCCCCACCCTCCCCCACCACCACCACTACACTCGCGCTCGACGCATATCCTTGATAACATGTTAATATAGCGAAGTCATTAAAGTTACACAGCTGAGCTGTATATTTACTACTGTACTACCAGTAGGTATAGCCTATCATAGATTTTAGATCTGTATTAGTAGTATCCTAGATATATGCTCTGAGCGCGAGCGTGAACGCGGTGGCGGGAGGTCGCACTTGATTCGGTTGCCAGTGAGTTCATCAGAAGAATACCTGGCTACAGTACACGTCAGTTGAGCGCTGTCGCTCTGCGGCACTTATTATTATTATTGCTGTTTATTGTCACGGTTATGGTGTTCGCGGGAACTTGCCTATAGTTACATGAAGTTATCAATCATTTTATTGTTACCACGAAATTAATTGAAGGCAATATTACATACAGGGGTGCAAATCCAGGGTCCCCCTGTCCCCCACATTTGATATGATGTCCCCCCTCTGAAAATTCGTGGGGGGGACATCCCCCCCTACGATTTTGGATCACCATGATTTTGTGTGTAAGTGTGCGTGTGTGTGCGCGCGTGTGCGTGCGTGTGTGTGTGTGTGTGTGTTTGTGAAGTGAGAACCCTTTTATTGTGTGTGATAGTGCGTCAACGATTGGCTTCTTTCCGTTTTTTTTTTTTCGTCAGTTTGCTCGCGCAGAAAACGCATCTGAGTGGGTCTAATTTCAAAAAAATTTGGGGGAGCCCCGCCACAGCCTCGCCCTTCGCGTGCCGGTCTGGGTTCCGGACCGCTCCTGCTCGTGCAGAAAACGCATCTGAGTGGTTCTAATTTCAAATAAATTGGGGAGGGCCCCCAGACCCCGCCTCTTCGCGTGCTCGGTCCGGTCGCGACAACGCCGTCCTTGCTCGCGCGAAAACGCATTCTGAGTGGTCTAAGTTTCCAAAAAATTTCTGGGGGCCCCCCTTCGCGTGCTCGCTACTGGTGTCCCCCCCACATTTCAAAATGGATTTGCGCGCCTGATTACATATCATGAATCTATCCATGCAATTTCTATGCAGCTTCTATACAATTTATTCTATGGCCGTAAGACTGATATATCTCAATATATTACATGTACACGCATGTACGCGCGCATACACAGTCGCATTGGCGAACGCACATAGGGTCACATATAGCTACTATAATATGTTGAACATCTTCGTCCTAATATATGTTTGCAATAGTAGCAAGTACTTACATATCAAGAAAATTACAATATTTCGTGTGCGTCAATTCCACGAACGAATTTTATGGTTTGATAATGTTCACCATATGCATGGTGTTGAATGTGGTTCTTCTAACACTTTAGTGTGAGAAGCAGAATAATGTGACAAGGAAGCAATACCGCTTTATTTGCGTGCCTTGGCCCTGAATGGGCTGCTTGCATCGGACAGGCAAAGAAGCCATGCATCTCTCTGCTCTCTTTCTCTCTCTCTCTCTCACTCTCTATCTCTCGCTCTCTCTCTCTCTCTCTCTCTCTCTCTCTCTCTCTCTCTCTCTCTCTCTCTCTCTCTCTCTCTCTCTCTCTCTCTCTCTCTTTCTCTTTCTCGCTCCCTCCCTCCCTCGCCCCCTCTCTAAGCCCCCTATCTGTATCTAGCTTTTTTTACTTTCAAGTTCAAGTTCACGGTATGTTTACAACATGAAAAACATAAGCTCTGCATTTAAGACCGACCAACTAACATAAGACAGTAGACCAATAATTAAAACAGTAGGCTTACATAACAATTTTAAAACATGCATACTATACAGGCATTCGTTTCTCTTCATCTTATTCATTCTCTCTCCCTCCTCTCGCTTTCTGCCCCTGTATGAAGCGCGCGACCCGATTTTCTGTTAGGAATAGGGAATTTGATAGTCCCTTACAGGTCTCATAAATAGGGGAGTAGCTGCGTAAACCCCTGGCGAGCCACTCAGTACGGCGGTCTGCACGACGAAGAGTAGAGTAAACATCATCCGCATTGTAACGTTGGCTATGACAACATTGAGACCTTTAATGTAAGTAATACGCATGTATATCATTTGGTAGATCTATAGTTGATATATTCATAGTTATATTAAGGGTATAAGTGTACTTTTTATCGATGATATAGCGATTTTTTTCAAACTATCGCCAGCAATGATGTTGTCTGTTGACGATAGCGCTAAGCTTAGCGGGCGGTTGGTTCAAACTCCCAGTTCATTCATTACGAAAGTCAGACGAGTTTCGACTTCGTCACTTTCTTTGTCACTTTGTATTGGTATAGTTTGTGTGTATTTTCTTTGGTCTCCTTTGTGTATATGTATATTCGCTGCGAAATATTCAGGTTAGAGTAATCAAAGATGGCGGCGGCAACGCCGATGATGGTGATAGCCTTTGCGCTGCTGACGTCATCGCTGACGCCGCGCAGCTCTAATGATACTGCTGCTGCGTGCAGCAGCAGCAGCAGCGGCAGCGGCGTCAGCCGCGGCAGCATCATTATCATTATTCTCCACTGCCATTAGGGCTATCATCATCAAAATCCCATTATCTGTAGTTGCACAAGCGGTAATGATCCCGCACAATTTTTCTGGCAAGCCCCACAGTGCTGGCTGAAATACGGCCAGAAGATTACTCTCCCAGAGGCTGGAGTAATGATGCTGGCAGCGTCAGCGTCGCCGCCAGACAAAGAAAGTGCAACACTAACATGGCAACTGCGCGAGGTTTACTGGTGTACAAGCACAATGCAGATGGTGGGTGGTGTAGACGAGTGTTCCCCACATGCATGGTTTAACGCTGAGAAGGTTGTCATGAGATTTTTTTGTGTACAGCTATAGCTGCTCCACTATACATTTCCACCAATTGGCATCCAATCACATCTAACAAGCATAACATATTACAGTATAGTACTGTATATAATAGTATGTATATATATATATATATATGTACCTATACTTAAAATATTCCTCATGACAGCAAAACGTAAATTGAGCTAAATAATTACTAATAAATGTGAGAAAAACTGAAGAGTTCTCAGGATACCCTGTTGTTTGTGACCTGTTGGAAGTATATAAGGAAGCAGCTAGCTATAGCAAAGTCTGGCCGTAAAAATCACAATATATATATATATATAATACAGGCCCGTAGCCAGTTTATGTTGGGGGCGTCGTTTTTCAATTTAGCAATTTGCTCGTCAGGTGGGCGTGTACAGGATTTGTACCAGGGGGGGGGGGGGGGTCTAACCGTAACCAAAGTTAGAGCACGCGAAGGGGGTCCTGGGGGTCCCCCCCCAGAAATTTTTTAAAATTACACCCCCTCAGATGCGTTTTCTGCGCGAGCAAGGGGGGTCTGGACTCCCTGGACCCCCCCTGTACACGCCCCTGCTCTCGGAGCGCGAAGCGACCAGGCGAGGGAAGCAAGCGACCGAGCGGGGGGAGGGCTGTGGAGGGGGTGTTCACTGTTCACCCTCCCGCACGATGGAGAGATTTTGCAATTATTACACTAAAATGGAGCGACCTGAGGTGAAATTCTTGCAAATTTTCAACAAAAATTTTTTTTTTGCTTGGGGGGAGGCTCGGGGGGGTTCGTTCGAACCCCCCGAACCCCCCTGGCTACGGGCCTGTATAACATATATATATATATATAATATATCAGGAGCTAATAATGACAATTTTCATTATTATTTTGTCATAATTAATCATAATTGTCATTATATATATTAGCTCCTGATAATATATATATATATATATATATATAATATTATATATATATATATATATATATATTATATATATATACATACTATTATATACAGTACTATACTGTAATATGTTTATGCTTGTTAGATGTGTTGGATGCCAATGTTGAAATGTATTAGTGGAGCAGCTATAGCTGTACACAAAAAAATCTCATGACAACCTTCTCAGGCGTTAAACATGCATTGGGGAACACTCGTCTACACCACCCACCATCTGCATTGTGCTTGTACACCAGTAAACCTCGCGCAGTTGCCATGTGTTAAGTGTTGCACTTTCTTTGTCTGGCGGCGACGCTGACGCTGCAGCATCATTACTCCAGCCTCTGGAGAGTAATTTCTGGCCTATTTCAGCCAGCAATGGGGCTTGCCAGAAAATTGTGCGGGATCATTACCGCTTGTGCAACTACAGATAATGGGTTTGATGATTGATAGCCCTAATGGCAGTGGAGAATAATGATAATGATGCTGCCGCGCGCTGACGCCAGCTGCCGCTGCTGCTGCTGCTGCACGCAGCAGCAGTATCATTAGAGCTGCGCGGCGTCAGCGATGAACGTCAGCCAGCGCAAAGGCTATCACCATCATCGGCGTTGCGCGCCGCCATCTTGATTACTCTAACCTGGAATATTTCGCAGGCGAATATACATATACACAAGGAGACCAAAGAAATACACACAAAACTATACCAATACAGTGACAAGAATAGTGACGAAGTCGAAACTCGTCTGACTTTCGCTAATGAATGAACTGGAGTTTGAACCAACCGCCCGCTAAGTTAGCGCTATCGTCAACAGACAACATCATTGCTGCCGATAGTTTAAAAAAATCGCTATATCATCGATAAAAAGTACACTTATACCCTAATATAACTATGAATATATCAACTATAGATCTACCAAATGATATACATGCGTATTACTTACATTAAAGGTCTCATGTTCATAGCCAACGTTACAATGCCGGATGATGTTTACTCTACTCTTCGTCGTGCAGACCGCCGTACTGAGTTGGCTCGCCAGGGGTTTACGCAGCTACTCCCCGTATTTATGAGACCTGTAAGGGACTATCAAATTCCTATTCCAACAGAAAATCGGGTCGCGCGCCTTCATACAGGGCAGGAAAGCGACGAGGAGGGAGAAGAGAATGAATAAGATGAAGAGAAACGAATGCCTGTATAGGATGCATGTTTTAAAATTGTTATGTAAGCCTACGTGTAATATTGGTCTACTGTCTTATGTTAGTTGTCGGTCTTAAATGCAGAGCTTATGTTTTTCATGTTGTAAACATACCGTGAACTTGAACTTGAAAGTAAAAAAAGCTAGATACAGATAGGGGCTTAGAGAGGGGGCGAGGAGGAGGGCGAGAAAGAGAAAGAGAGAGAGAGAGAGAGAGAAGAGAGAGAGAGAGCGAAGAGATAGAGAGTGACGAGAGAGAGAGAGAAAAGAGAGCAGAGAGATGCATGGCTTCTTGCCTGGTCCGATGCAAGCAAGCCCATTGTCAGCGGCCAGGCACGCCAAATAAAGCGGTATTGCCCTTCCTTGTCACATCTTTCTGACCACACTAAAAAGTGTTAGAAGAACACATTCAACACCATGCCATATGATGTGAACATTATAAACCATAAAATTCGTTCGTGGGAATTGACGCCACACAAATATTTAAGTTCTTCTTGATATGTAAGTACTTGCTACTATTTGCAAACATATATATTAGGACGAAGATGTTCAACATATTATAGTATAGCTATATTGTGACCCTATTGTGCGTTCGCCAATTGCGACTGTGTTATGCGCGGTACAGCGTGTACATGTAATTATATTGCAGATTATTCAGTCTACCGGCCATAGAATAATTGTATAGAAGCTGCTAGCAAATTGGCATGGCATAGATTCAGTGATATGTCAATCAGGCGCGCAAATCCAGTTTTGAAATTGGGGGGGACACCAGATGCGAGCCACGCGAAGGGGGGGGGGTCAGGGGCGGCCCTCCCCCAGAAATTTTTTGGAAATTAGACCACATCAGCATGCGTTTTCGCGCGAGCAAAGGAGGCGTGTCGGACCGAGACCGAGCACGCGAAGAGGCGGGGTCTGGAGGGCCCTCCCCAATTTATTTATCTTCTTTTTTTT